TAACAAGGCCTATTCCCGCCTGGAGAACCTCAAGACCCACCTGCGCTCGCACACGGGGGAGAAACCCTACGTGTGTGAGCACGAGGGCTGCAACAAGGCCTTTTCCAACGCCTCCGACCGCGCCAAGCACCAGAACCGCACCCACTCCAACGAGGTACGGCCCCACCTCGGGCTCCTCTGCGTCGGTCCCGTCCTCAACAACTCCCCACACCCCTCCTTTTCAACCCTGTGTGCCCCAACTCCCCCTTTGCCTGCTCTAAATGCCCCCTTGGTCGCCGGCATTCCCGCCGGGATCCCTTTATCCCGCTCCTGGGGAGCCTCCCTGAGCTCTCCCCCCGGCACCCACCGTGCCCCCTCCGAGGGGACTCCCCCGAGGGGACTCCCCCTCTTTGATCCAGAGGGGAGGGGAGGGGGTTTTGCTTTAGGGGAGGGGGCTCTGGTGGGAGCTGACCCCGCTCCGTGCCCGCCGTTCCCGGGCAGAAGCCGTACGTGTGCAAGATTCCCGGCTGCACCAAGCGCTACACGGACCCCAGCTCCCTGCGGAAGCACGTGAAGACCGTGCACGGCCCCGACGCCCACGTCACCAAGAAGCACCGGGGGGACGTGGGGCCGGGCCGGGCGCTGCCCACCCCCAGCGCCCCCCTGGACATGAAGCAGGAGAAGGACACGAACGGCCCCGGCGAGGCCCGGAAGGACGACGGGAAACTCCTGGTGCCCGACCTGGCCTTGGTGAGGAGCTGGGGGGGGGTGGTGGTGGGGGGGTCACCCCCAGTGATAGTGCAAGAGGAAACAGCCTCAAGTTGTGCCAGGGGAGATTTAAGTCGGATATCAGGGAAAGTTTCTTTGTGGAAAGGGTTGCCAGGCGTCGGAAGGGGCTGCCCAAGGGAGGGGGGGAGGGCCCATCCCTGAAAGCGTTCGGGAATCGTGTGGATGTGGCACCTGGGGACGTGATTAGTGGTGGACGTGGCAGTGTTGGGTTAATGGTTTGACTCGGTGGTCTCAGAGGCTTTTCCAACCTCAATGATTCCCTGATTCCGGGCGTAGTGGACACCTGACCCCCCTCCCTCGGTCCCCGCTCTGCTCCCCCCAGAAGCCACAGCCCAGCCCGGGCGGGCAGTCGTCCTGCAGCAGTGACCACTCGCCCCTGGGCAGCACCACCAACAACGACAGCGGCGTGGAGATGGCAGGGAACGCTGGTGGCAGCTACGAGGACCTGTCCACGCTGGAGGACGTGGTGCCCGGGGAGCCCATGGGCACCTCGGGGCTCATGGCCCTGCACAAGCTGGAGAACCTTCGCATCGACAAACTGAAGCAGCTGAGGAAACCCGCGGCTTCCAAGGGCCTGAACCTGCCACCCATCCCTGGAGCCGGTGAGCCCGGGGTGCCCTCCCACGGGGGTGAGGGAGCCATCCCATGGGAACTGCGTGGAGAGCTCTGGTGGGCAGCCAGAGCTTTCCAAACGTTCCTATTATTAGTGGCAGACCCCAAAGTCTGGACTGTGCTCTGGGGAGACCTTAGAGCCCCTTCCAGTGCCCAAAGGGGCTCCAGGAGAGCTGGAAAAGGACTTTGGACAAAAGCCTGGAGTGCCAGGGCAAGGGGGAGTGGCTTCCCACTGCCAGAGGGGAGGGTGAGATGGGATACTGGGGACAAGTTCCTCCCTGTGAGGGTGGGGAGGCCCTGGCATGGTTTGCCCAGAGAAGCTGTGGCCACCACTGCCCTGGGAGCGTTCAAGGTCTGGTTGGAACAACCTGGTCTAGTGGAAGGTGCCCCTGCCCAGGGCAGGGGGTGGAACTGGATGGTCTTTAAGATCCCTCCCAACCCAAACCATTCCAGGATTCAACAATCTTTCCAACCTAAATGAGCCTCTGCCCCTCTTTGTTGCCTCCTCTGGAACCCTCTCCCTGTCCTCACGGGGTCTGACCAGGGAAGAGCCACATCCCGCGTGGTAACTCCTCCTTCTCTCCCCCAGGCCTGCCCGGGGAGGTGCCCGGGCTCCCGGTGCCCCCCCCGGCCTCTCACCGGCGCATCGTGGAGCTGTCGGCGGCGGAGCTGGGGCTGGTGGCCCTGGGCGAGCGCCGGAGCAGCGGCACCAGCACCGTCAGCTCCGCCTACACCGTGAGCCGCCGCTCGTCCCTGGTGTCCCCGTACCCGCCGTGCCCGGCCGAGGGGGCGGCGATGCCCGGCGGGACGTGCCCGGCCGACGGCTACGACCCGACGGCCTCTCCCGACGAGTCGCGGCGCTCCAGCGGCGCCGGCCCGTGCGGGGCCCTGCCGGGGGTGGGCAACCTCACCCCGGCCCAGCGCTACCGCCTCAAGGCCAAGTACGCCGCGGCCACGGGCGGGCCCCCCCCGACCCCCCTGCCCGGCGTGGAGCGGGCGGCCCCGGGCGGTGCCGTGCCCGCGGGATACCCCGCGCCCGCCGGGCCCCGCTGCGTGCCCAACGGGCTGCCGCGACGGCACAGCTCCAACGACCACCCCGGCTACCCGGGCGCCGTGCCCCCTCGCCTGGTGCCCCGGCACGGCGTCCGGCGGGCGAGCGACCCCGCCCGGACCGCGGCCAAGCCTCCGGCCGTGCCCAGGGTGCAGCGGTTTAAGAGCGTGGGGAACGTGAGCGCGCCCGGCGCGGGCAGGACGGCGCTGCAGCCCCTGGGCGGCTCCGAGGCCAACCTGCAGCGCCACGGCTTCTCCCCCCGGCCCCCCAGCATCACCGAGAACGTCTTCCTGGAGAGCGTGGGGGGCCCCGGCCCCGAGCCCGGCCTGCTGGAGGTGGAGCAGTACCTGAGCTATCCCGAGGAAAGCTTCCCGTGCCCCGGCGCGGAGCTCCAGGGTGGCATCTACGGCGCTCAGCGGACCATGGGGGGCACGCACGGGGACATGGAGGAGGGGCTGCTGCAGCCCGAGTTCTCCCTCCCGCAGTGCCAGATGAACCAGCACTTCCCCAGTTTGCCAGCTGGGAATGGGGCCGTGCCAGTGCCTTGGGAAGGACCCGCCCCGGGCACGCTGGACATGAGCTCCGGGCAAAGCGTCGGTGCCGCCGCCACCGTGTCCGGGCCACACTGCCCCCATCAGAGCACCGAGTACCCCCACGCCAGTTCCTGTGGGCAGCATCCCAAACTGGCGAGCTCGTGCCAGGACGGCGGATTTCCCGGGGGGCACCGACCTTACCGACTGCAGATCAAATCCGAGCAGCGATACCCGGCGCCCGCCCCAGCACTTGCTCCCTGCCCCGGCGCCAAACTGGCCGGGCCCCCGCTGCCCCCCCCGGCCTTTGGCCACGCCATGGACGTGGGGCCGGGCGGGTACCCCCCTGCGGGACCGGCGCCGGGCGGGTACATGGGCATCGCCAGCCCGGGTGCCCGCAGAGCCCAGACCCCCACCCTGCAGACCAAAGAAGTGATGGTCCGGAGCTACGTGGAGGCCCAGCAGGCGCTGATGTGGGGGGAGCAGCCCCCCTCCAAGGGAGGGGCTCCTGGCACGGGGCTGGGCGGCGAGCCCGGGCAGTGCCAGGCCATGCCGGCACCGCCGTACGGCAGCCCCAGGTACTGCGGGTACCAACCCAAACCCGATCACCTGCAGGGCCTGGCGGAGCCCCAGCACCTCCTGAGCCCCCCGTGCTTCAACCCCGAGATGGTCCCACACCCTCCAGGTGGCCCGAAGCCGCCGGGTCACCCGGCCGGGCTGAGCTACAGCCTGGCACAGCCGGGGCCCGGCTACGACGGGGTGGACACCAACTCCCGGCACCTGCTGCGCTTACCCCCCGCCCGCCCCGTGCCCGAGGGGCCTGGGAACCCCCTGGGGTACTACCCAGGCCAGAGCACCCCCGGGCAGGTGGGCAAAGGCGGGCACAAGCTGCTGGGCCACGTGGCAGCGAGCTGTGGGGGTCCCGGGCACTACGGCGGGAGCTCGGAGGGACTCAAAGGCACCTCCTGTTACTACCTGGCCTCGGGGGAGCAGGTGGCCAACAGCCTCGACTCCCTGGACCTGGAGAACACGCACCTTGACTTTGCTGCCATTGTGGAGGACGAGGAGCCCCCCCCGGCGCTGCCCGGCCCCCCCAGCCCGGCCGGGGGGCTCCTGCTGCCCTCGCCCGGGGGTGCCAACATGGCAGTGGGGGACATGAGCTCCATGCTGAGCACGTTGGCAGGGGAGAGCCACTTCCTCAACTCCCTGTCCTGAAACCAGGGGTACCTGCCCTCAGGTGGCACCTCCGTGACCTGGGGGGGCCCAACCCGTTGGGGCAGAGCCGTGAACCCTCCTCACACACAGGTTTGTGCCCTGGGGGGGACGGGGAACACCCCTGAACCCCCCCCTTCTCTGGGCTCTGACTGCCACCCTCGCTCAGGGGGGGCACTGCTGGGTCCCAGACACGGCCCCAACCCTCCAGGTCACCTCTGGGGTGGGGAACTGGTTTTACTGGGCCCTTCTTCCAGTGCCTGGGAGCCTGTCCCACCTGCCCCCCCCCCAGCCTTAATGCCAAAGCCAAAGAGCCCCCCACCCCCTGGGCAGGCCCCATCCCAGTGTTCCCACTGCCCCCCCCCAAATCCCAGTCTGTCCGGACTGCAAGCCCCCACCCCCGCCGCCGGGGGGGGCAGATCCCCGGGGATGGGGCGGGGGGTGCCTGTACATAGTGTTCATAATGTCTGTCTGTCCGGGGGTCCCCCCAAGCCCCCGTCTGTGAGAGCACCAGCAGTGCCCCCCCAATTAAACCCTTTCTCAGGGGACTGCGACCGTGTCCTTTGTCACCCCTGTGAGGGGCTCCGGGCTCGCCCTGGCCCGGGGGGGTTGGATGGGACCCCCGGACCCCCCCCTTGGTCCCCTGGGCCCGATGCCCCCTGGCAGCAGCTCCCCCACCCTCTGGCTCAGGGATCCAGGGCATCCAGGGGGTGGTTTTGGGCTGTCCCTGGAGCCCAGAGCGAGCAAAACTGGTTAAAAAAGTGATTTGTGCTTCAAATAACGCAAATGGCCCAAAATAACGCAATTGATTATGCGAAAGTTGGGTTAAAACAATTAAATTACGCAAAATTAGCCGGAGACGGAATAATTAATGATGCAAAATCTGCTTAAAATAATGCAATTAACGCTGCAAAAAATGGCCTGAAATAACGGAATTTTGTATAATTTGCTTAAAGTGACAATAATGTGAAAAATACTTAAAATAATGCCATTTTCTTAAAACAACGGAATTTATGATGCAGGAATTGCTTAAAGTAGTCCATTCATGCAAAATGTTGTTAAAATAATGCAATTAGGTGTTTCAAAAAATTTGTTTAAAGAACACAACTTCGCGTGATTTGGTTAAAACGATGTAATTAACGATGCAAAAAATCGCTTAAGGTGCAATTTTGCGTAATTTGCTTGTAACGATCCAACTAACGACGCAAAACCCGCTTTAAAATGATACAGAATTTGCTCGAGCCGGCAAAACCAACCAGCGAATTTCGCGTTACGACGACGCGATTTTTGCACGATTCGGTTGAAAACAGCGCGGCCGAAACGATTCGAAAAGGGAAAAACAAAAAAAAACGCTTAAAAAATAACGCGGTTGTGGAAATCGGGGCGTTTTCCCCGCGCGCCCCAAAAGCCTCGTCACGCCGTGATTAACCCGGTAATTAACGCGCAATTAAAGCGGCCGAGGGCGCCCCCTGGCGGTCCCGGGGGGTGACACCGGAGGGGACAGCGCGGGGTGACACCGGAGGGGACAGCGCGGGGTGACACCGGGCCCGCCACCCCCGGGACAGCCGGGGCCCGCTCCGGTGGCGGGAGGGGCGCCGGGACCCCCCCCGGGGAAGGTTCGCTGTGAAACACGGCCGGGCTGTGCTTGGAGAACAATAAATAGCGATAAATGGGGGGGGACAAGGCACGGGGGGGGGGCAAGGCACAGGGACACACCGCGGCACCGCCCCACGGTGCCGGCAGCAGGAATTAGGGGTGGGGGGCTCCCGGCCCCCCCCGCTCTGCTCCGTGCCCCCCACGGCGGGTCCCCTCCGTCACTTCCCCGCCCGCTCCTTGTGCGACTCCGTCACCACCTGCTGCGGGAGGAGAATTTGGGGGTCAGCCCCACGTCAGGGTCGGGCCCCCCCCAGGTCAGGACTCCCCCCCTCAGGCCTCACCTGCCCGTCCCGGGTCTCGATGGTTTTGATGAGCACCGTCCTTCGTGCCGGGATCTCCACGGGCTGGGGCTCCAGCACTGGGCACAGAGGGGCCATCAGCCCCTCTGCCCCCCCCGGGCACCCTGAGCGGGGGCACAGGGACCCACCCACATCCCTGTAGGGTCTCTGCTCCCAAGGATAGACCCCAGACCTAGTGAGGGACCCCCGGCTCACCCCTCACCTGAGCTTCTCCCGCTGAAGGAGGTGGTTGGGTGCAGGGGGACGGTGATCCTGGGGGGAGAGAGGGGGTGAGGGGGGTCTGGGGCTCCTGGGCATTGCCGGTGACCCCAACCCTTCCACGCACTCGAGTCCATGACCTTGATCCCGGCTCAGCTGGGGGCCGTGCCCATGGGCTGCCAGGCTGGCACCGGGAGCGGAGCCGGAGGCAGCTCCCCCACCATCACACCAGCCCCTGGCCTTGCCTTTATCTCGGCAGCGAGAAGCTCCCACGGGAACCTCTTGTTTTCCTGTGGGAACAGGGCCTGGAGCTGCCTCCTCCCAAGAAAACCCCCCCAACAGGCCAGGCCCCCCTCACCGGCTCTCCTCGCCCTCCAGCAGCTTGCGGTACGTGGCGATCTCGATGTCCAGGGCCATCTTGACGTTGAGCAGGTCCTGGTACTCGCGCAGGTGCCGCGCCATCTCCTCCTTCATCTGCTGGATCTCCTGCTCCAGCCGCCCCACCGCGGCCTGGTAGTTCCCGATCTCCTCCCCGAACTCGTCCTCCATCTCCCGCATCTGCCGCTGCAGCGCCTCGTTCTGGGGGGGGAGAAGGGGCTGCATAGGGCTGGGGTGGGGGCACCCCCCGGACACCCCCCCCGGCTCTCACCATGCCCTTCAGCCCGTCCACCTCGCAGGTCAGGCTCTGGATGTGCCGCCGGGACTCGTTCATCTCCTGCTTGGCCAGGCGCAGGGCCTCGTGGTTGCGGTTGGCCGCGTCCGACAGGTCGGCGAACTGCGAGGGCCGGGCGAGTCGGGGCTCTGGGGGGCTCCTCAACTGCCCCCTTCCCCGGCCCCTCCCGAGCCCCCCCCAGCCCCGGGTACCTTCGACTTGTACCACTCCTCGGCCTCCTGCAGGTTCTTGACGGCGATGCTCTCGTACTGGGTGCGGATCTCGCGCAGCGCCGCCGTCAGCTCGGGTTTGCAGACCTCCCCCTCCGCCGGCCCCGCCGGGCTCGGGGCGCTCACCTCCAGGTCCCGCAGCTCCTGCGCGGGCACGCGGCTGTCACCCCGGGGCACACGGACCCGGCCCGCTTCCCCCACCCCACCCCGGGCCCCACCTCCTCGTGCAGCTTCTTGAGGAAGCCGATCTCGTCCATGAGCAGCTCGACCCTGCGCTCCAGCTCCAGGCGGGACAGCGTGGCGTGGTCCAAGTCCTGGGGGAGAGGCTGGGATGAGCTGCAGGGCAGCAGGAGGGGATGGGAACCCCCTGGATCTTCCCCCCTTCCCGGGGTGGTGGGGGATGGAGATTGGCACTGCACGGGGGGACAGGCCCCCCCAGCCCCCTCACCTTGCGGAACAGCACCAGGGTCTTCTCTGCATCCTCGCGCTTCTGTGTCTCATCTTCCAGCCTGGGGACAGCAGGGGTGAGAGGGAGGTGGGAGACAGGGTGCAGACCCCTCCTCTCACGCCTGCTGTTGTAGCCCCCACACACACTGGAGGCCCACGGGAATGGATTGTCCCCCAGTGCTCACACAGGTCCACTCACAGTGACCCCACCCTGCCCCTCCCAGTGCCCCGTCCTTCCGCAGAGCCCGGATCTCCCAGTACCTCCCAGTGTTCCCTGTGCATCCCCGGTGCCTTCCCCAGCGTCTGCTGGATGCATCCCCAGTCACCCCCCAGTCCCCACTCTGGCATCCCCGGGGCTCATCCATCCCCATCCCGGTGCATCCTCTGGTCCCAGCACATCCCTCATCCCGGTGCATTCCCCAGTCCCCACCCTGGTGCAGCTCTCATCCCATCGCATCCCTCATTCCATGACATCCCTCATTCCATGACATCCCTCATCCCATCACATCCCTCATTCCATGACATCCCTCATCCCATCGCATCCCTCATTCCATGACATCCCTCATCCCATCGCATCCCCTGATCCCTCTCTAGCACATTCCCCAGTCCCCATCCCAAGCATCCCTCATCTCGACTCATCCCCGGTCCCCATCCCGGCGCATCCCTCATCCCGGCGCATCCCTCATCCCGGCACATCCCCGGGTCCCTCTCTGGCACATTTCCCGCTACATCCCTCATCCCGACTCATCCCCGGTCCACATCCCGGCGCATCCCTCATCCCAGCGCATCCCCGCTCCCCATCCCGCTGCCTCCCCCGGCCCCGCCGCCCGCCCACCGCTGCCGCAGGGCCGCCAGGTCGGTGGCGAGCCCGTCCCGCTCGGCCTGGAGCCGGTCCCGGTCGCGGCCGAGGCGCTCCAGCCGCTCCCGCAGCCCCCGCAGCTCCCCCTGCACCAGCCCGGTGCGGGGCCCGGTGGCGGCGGCGGCGCGGCCCAGGGCGGCGCGGAGGGTCCCGTTCTGCCGCTCCAGCGCCCGCACCCGCTCCAGGAAAGCGGCGAAACGATCGTTCAGCGCCGCCAGTTCCTCCCGCTCCGCGCCCCGCGCCGCCGCCGCCGCCGCCAACCGCCCCGGGGCCGCGGTGAGGGGCGGCGACGCCCGGGGGTCGCGGTCGCGGCGGCTCATGGTGCCACCGGGAGGGCGGCGGCCGCCGGTACCGGCTGTTTATAGAGCACAGCGGCTCCGCCCCGCTGGGGGCACCCGGGGGTACGGAGGAGAGGGGAGGGGTCTCCCGGTCGGGGGGAGGACCGGGGGCTGCGGATGTCCCCTCCCGGGGGCGGGGAGAGCGGCTGCGGGACGGGGGGCTGCAGGAGTTCCCCTTCGTAGGGGCCCGGAGACCCCCCGGGGGTGCGGGGAGGGGGGCTGGTGGGTCCCGTCTCGAGGGTGCAGCAGCAGGTGTGGGGGGGAGAGGGGCCGGGGGTGCTCGGGAGACACGGACCCCCCGACCGGGGCAGAGGGAGCCCGTGGGGTGCCCCCCAGGCAGCAGGGGCAGCCCCCCAGTTGGAAAGCAGGGAGGGGCGGGGGGGCTTCAGGGCTCGGGTGGGGCCCCCATCGCAGCTGGGTCCCGGCCCGCCCGGGATGCTCAGCACGCGCGGAGGGGGGGCCGGTCCCTCCCCCTGGGCCGGGGCGGCCGTGACTCGGCTCTGCGGGAGCCGCCATGTGCGGGCAGCACCGGACAACGGGCTCGGCCCCCCCCGGCCCCCCCTTTCCGGGCAGCGAGGGCGGCACTTACGGGAAGGAGTCAGTGCCCTGTGCAGGGGCTGTAGGGGGGGGTCCCTCCCGCCCAGGACCCCCCTCCCAGCTCTGCAGAGCCCCGCACTGAGAGTGGCTCCGTGCCAGGAGCAGCACAGCACCACATCCAGCCCAGCCTGTCTGTACCAGGGCTGGGTCCTACCCACGCACAGGGGGCTACCAGGGGAGTCCCCCCAACTTGGTGTCCCCCAGGGACAGTGGAATGGGGAGGGGGACATCAAGACTATGTGGCAAACAGCCCAGCAGGGCACTGCCAGCTCACAGCACAGGACCCAGCCACACACAACTGCCCAGCGTCCCCCAGCACAGCCCCTGTGCCAGCTGGCAGCACAGCCGGGCACCCAGCCCAGCCGGGGCCCCCCTCCCCTGGGACGTCCCCCCAGGTCACCACAAGGCAGATTGTCCTGGCACAAAGAACGAGGCAGGAGTGGAAAGAGCCATTTTAATGAACAGCACCACAGTGAAACACAAGAGACAAGGCACTAGTATTCTGCCCCCTCATCATCACCCTCCATGCTGTCAGCCCCCACCTCCTCGTAATCCTTCTCCAGGGCAGCCATATCCTCCCGGGCCTCCGAGAACTCCCCCTCCTCCATGCCCTCCCCCACGTACCAGTGCACGAACGCCCGCTTGGCGTACATCAGGTCAAACTTGTGGTCCAGGCGGGCCCAGGCCTCGGCGATGGCCGTGGTGTTGCTCAGCATGCACACGGCCCTCTGCACCTTGTCCAGGTCCCCCCCGGGCACCACCGTGGCCGGCTGGTAGTTGATGCCCACCTTGAAG